CTTCATCTGATTGGCTGATAGCTTGGCCTGACCTCGCTATGCGCCTAAGATGACCAATCACACAATTCTATAGTACCTGTCAATCATATTTAGCTCGTTTCGAAACAATACTAAGGGCCTCTTCATATGAGCCCGGTCAACCGGGCTGGCTCGGTTTTCGAGATCTCGCCTCGCTAATCTTTCCTTCGTAAAAATTTCCATGTGTTCATATGAGAAGCCGGGCTGGCCCAGTTACCGAGATCTCGGGTTTTGCGACCAAGATCTCGGTAACCGGGATGAAAATTTTCCCATATGAACACTCCAGCCCGGGTAACCGGGACGCAACTTTTTAGACGAAATAGCTTCGCTTTCGCAACATAGCGGCCAAAATGGCATAATTTTTGCCATGTATGTATTTCCACTTTAGGAGTAGGCAAATTAGCTTTGTTAGTAAAGTTACTAGAGTCCACAAAGCTGCGACAGCCGCGAACGATCCAAGTTTATGTTCCACCATTTTGGTTGTGTTTCTTGGATTTTATCCCAGTAGACCGGGCTGAAATTTCGCATATGAACAGACAACAAAATTCGTCCCGGTTACCGGGCTCATATGAAGAGGCCCTAAGAAATGAGCATTGAACACAACAGCAGAAAAGATGCTGCAACCCACAAAATGGCTGAAGCGTTCGATAAACAGCACCCGAAATAGACCGACCAGACAACTCTTGACTACAACCAAGCCGTAGAAAACTCGATACGCAGTCCTCTACTGGGCTATGTGGTCAACAGTCATCACGTCAAATATTTGTATCTTCCCAACGAAGAGATCAAAATTTATGATCCACTTATCGACAGCCTGGAGCGCACTTTAACCAAACCCTTGTTCCATTGTGGAGGACGTTTCGGGCCATCAGTCCTGGACAACTGCGTTGTCAAAGTAAAGCCGAGAAATTCTGAAGCAGGTCAAGATAATTGGCAAGAATTTGCTTTGTCTAATCTTAGCTTAGACGAGCTTCTAGAATACTGCACCGCACTGTTTGGACACAAAGGAAATGAAGCCAGCCCTTGATCCCGAAATTCGTCTCGCCTAAGAGATCGAATCGGCAAGGCTTGAAGTGCATAGATCTCCTGGAATGATGTTTATCAGAGCACACATCGAGGATAAACTTGTAATTACAATTACACCCGGCAGATGTGTAAAGCTGGATCGTTACAAAGACCCCCTGTCTACAAAGTCAGCTTCTAAGGTGCCGGATAATTTTTGAAGCCGTACGAAAAAAAAATCCGTCTGCATGATCACAATATGATAGGACCTCCGGTCATTTGTCTTCCTTCACCTTTCATTGAAATTTACAGGAAGGCGGACATTTATACACAGATTGTTTGTCACGCAGGTGGCAGCTGGAACGGAAACGAAGTGGGAGATTTATATTGGAGTAGACATGATTTAATTAGATTCCGCGCCATCGATGAAGTTTACAGGGAATGATTTTCACTAGTGCATAAGTACCACGACCTACTAAGTATCTTAGATCTAGAATAACTGTGCAAGTTTGTTTTTTTGTATTCTAAGGCTAATGTATTTTCACAAATGAGAACATTAACTACTCAAGCGTAATAAGCAACATTTCCGCTTAAGAACAATGTTGTTGAAAAATATATATGTGTTATTTGCCGGCTGGGAGGTCCGTATGGTCAAAAACTGTGACCGAGGTCTTGAAAATGCTGCCCGAGGTCTGCTGCCTCGGGCAGCATTTTCAGGCCCGAAGTCACAGTTTTTCACCATACGGACCGACCGTAGGCCGGCAAATAAAATGTTCATTTTTTTTCCTGCAGAAAATTGGTTTTACAGATTACAAATGGGTTTGTTTACGCAACCCTTGTCATTGAATCGGCTTCCGCGCCGTCTGCTAACGATTTGAAAAAGATCTTGGTAACGAGTATCT